TTTTTTTTTTTCTTTTTTTTTCTTTTTCTTCTTCTTTTCTTTATATAACAATATTATGCTGATATCGATTCTCGAAATAAATAACGTTTAAGAGTTGCAAACTGTTAAACGTTCCTAGCGTCACGTCTCTTGTAACATCACACCGATGCTGGGGATGATGCACCTTGAAGATAAACATTTCTGTTGCGTTTCTTCGAGAAATCTATATTAGTTACAATGAAGTTTCAGGGTTGTCGTGTCGTATCGAACAGAAGGGGTTGGAATTTCAGAAACTGTACATCTCAAGTATATCGTATAAGAGAAGGATAATAGTTAGTACATCTTTACAAACGGGAAGGATTATTCTTCATTGGTTAATTAGATCGTCCGGCAAAGGTCGGTTGTCAGGTTTTGATACGGTAATCTATCTACTCATTGCATTCTTCGATTGTTTGAATGCAGAGTGCTAAAGTGCTATGGACATTATAAGGCGAGATACACAGAAAACCTAAAAAATAGATCTACTATTATTCCTTATAACTATTTACAAAGTTTCGTCGAACCAAAGATTTATCGATAGAACTCATACAATACAACGTGATTGAAAAGGCACAACAGTTGCATTTGTAATAAATCTCTTTTTTTCTTTTTTTTTTCCCCTTTTCCTTTGACCATGTTCAATGAAAAATGCTATGCACCATTTGCCAAAAATATTTGAACCCCTTGTGGATGAAGGCCGTGATATTTCAGGCAGTGATTTCATCATCATCATGTCTTTAAATATTTTGTGCACGACTTTCTTCAAATAAAATATATATATATATATGTATGTATGTATCTGTGTATATATAAATATATATATATATATATGTGTGTGTGTATATGTGTGTATGTGTTCTAGAGAAGCACGCTAAAACAGCTTATTAACCCTTTGCATTGTCGAACTTTTCACGCGCGTCAGTCGGCCAGCAACTTTACGAAACTTTTCCAACTAACATTTGATACCTCGTTGACGATAACGAAAGCGACTCTAAAATCTATTGGATTCTTCCTACACCTTGCCGTGATTGCCATTATTTGAAGAATACAAGATTAAATTCTATGAAAATTCGGTCGGCGTGTTTAATCTTAGATTATTCAAGAAATGCGTCTTTGGTGGACGTTGTACACCGAATGCAAAGGGCTAACAGAACATTTTATTTAGCATTTACACAATTAGCCGCAGCTAAAACAAATCGTCCGAATAATTTTTATATACTGTTGCTTGGAAAAGTATCTTTGCCCGCAGAATGGGTCTAAACCGTCCAGCTGCACCCTGCACCTTCAAATACAATCTTGTTAGAGTGCCATACGTAATTATAAGTAAAGGAAATTTTGTATCCTTTTCGTTTTCATTTTCTTTCTTTCCTTCTTTCACTTTTGCCCTGTGATTGAGTAACCATTGGTCTTCGACTTGTTTTGGAGGGTGCATCATCCCCGTGATCAGTTCTTATGTTATTATTTTCTTTTTCTTTTTTTTTAATCTTTTTTTGTTTTTTCCTTCCCTTTCTTGTAAAGAGATAGCTCGCTTCTTCGATTATCTCGAGTATACACGCACATGGGACACATACACGCACGCATGCACACACGCAAGAGCGCGCTATAAGAGGAAGAAAAGAAAACGCCACGCTTAAAAGGTGATTCTCTCTTTTGTTTCCTTTCTTTTTTCTCTCTCTCTTTCTCTCTCTCTCTCTCTCTGTCTCTCTTTCAAATAGTAAAATCAGAGAAAACAAGAAGAAAAAAAAAAAGAAATAAAAGAAAGAACGACTCGCCGGATCGCAAGAATCTGCGTGAAAAAAGAAAAAAAAAAAAAAAAAGTCTAACATCGTCGATCGAAATCTCGAATTGGCGCTGTTTTTCGGTTTTCCTGCTCGATTTTTTTTTCACTCCTTTCTCTCTCTCTCTCTCTCTCTCTCTCTC